TCAAAGCCCAATGAGCCTCCATAGTTAATTCTCCCCTAGAATTAGGATCATTATTTCCAATTGGAATATTAAACAATGTTTAGAGGTCCTGCTCAGTCAGTTCCAAACATGGATTAATTTAATTAATATTTTGATATAGAACAGACAGTGTGAAAAACAGGGGGCCAACGGCTCCCATGATGAAGGCCCTAAGCCATGACTCTCTGAGTATCTACCGAGAATAATAAGGAAACAAAGTAAACAAAGTAAAATCATAATGAAGTATAGTACAAAAATAAAGGATAATGGTGAACTCTTTCGCAGATAAGGACAAGTTCTTCTTTATGCTAATCTCAGTAGGGAGGAATTCAGCTGATACAAACCAAGAACAATGTTGACGCCTTAGCGCCACAGGGTGACCTCCAGCCTGCATTAAGCCTCCCTCATTTCCTGATATAGCATTGAATTTGACATTTTTGGGTTTAACACAGTTCTTCTCCATCCTTGTTCCCAAATACATACACTAAAATTCATTTTTCTCTAAACCTTTTACAACTTACTAGACATCCTTAATTTAGCTTTTACTCTTTTTCATATTCTGGCACAACCAGACATTCTATTTCAAAGCAAAACCACTTTCATTTTAACTCTCAAACAAAAAATACACAAAACTTACTACCAGTTGTTCTGCCTTTCCCCTTGAACTCCATATCATGTCAAAACTTTCATATCGTCCTCAAAATGATATACCACCCAAAATTCCATAGTTTAATAACTGCAGTTTTAAACACTGATTAATCATGGGAAGGTAAAATGTTTATGCTAAACATTATATGAAAAAAGAATTGAAGGAACCACAAATATATAAGTTAGGATTTTCCTTGTGTTAGATCCTAGGAAATAAGCTGTTTGTTCGTTGCAGATAGGAGACAGCAAGGGACCCCCCACAGAGGGAGTGAGGCATCAAGGCAATTCCCAAAGACATACCAAATTCTTGCATTTGTGAACCCCTCCCTCTCGAGCCAGGCAGAAGGTTTTCAATAGAAAGAGTGTGGCCTCATCTGCATTGAATTTTCTCTGTGATTTACTTCCTGATAATTCT